ATGAAAAACCAAAATATCAATAAATCCAGGATCTTGTTTTTTGAAAAAAAATAAATAAATAAAATAGGCCACTATCTAGATTAATATATTTAAAATGGCAGTAAGAAATCTTGAATTTTAATTGGACAAAATCAGTCATAATCATAAGGTCATATTAATAGAATTCTACAATTGTAGACAGTGTTCATTCTGTTAACATAATCCTATAGAATGAACATCTGAATGAGTACATTTGACAAGACTTAGACTTATTCATACTTAAGAATTGTTTTGGTAAATTTTTACCTTCAGTAGATAAAAACATCTTTTTATTTCTTCCTCTACATTGGACTTTAACTATATGATAGATTTTTTTTTACATTTGAAACCAAGTTTTATGAACCACCAGACATATATATGATGATCTGGTCTCCCTATATTTGGAGGACCAGAAAATTAAAAATTAAAATGTGATAAATATTTAAAAAGTAAAAAGGCATCTACTTTGAATGAATTATGTTCAAGTACCTTAAAATCATGAAACTAATAAGAGCACATTAGCATAAATGAATGAAAGAATACTTCAAATAATGAAAAGAACAAATATTGTCTAAAATATCCATTCTGTATCCATGCTGTCAATCCTACGTTTTAAGAATACACTTCTATTTACTCATTGAATGATTTTCCCTCATTTCTTTCCAGGGACACTAAACAGGAATCAAACAAAATTCAGCATTTGGAAGGGGTATAAATGTCAGTTCTGAGCTGAGTACAAAGTTCTGAAATTCAGAGCAAGGATAAACAGTTGTAAACAATTCTGGGAAGCTATTTAACTACATTTGCTCAAAGTAAGTTTTCAATTACAATGTAAATTACAGCACAAACATTGTGGCATAAACTAATAAACTACATGTCTATCTACAATTTCCTACTGAAGCAATAATTCTACCTAGCATCTAAAAAATCAGGCATATGAAATGTACTGCTTATTCATTTAATAATGTTTTTTTATTGATTTAGAAAGAATATTATGAAGGATTTATAACTTAAAACTGCCAATTTAATAGAGTTACAGTTCTAAAACTTCAATGACTATTGACACATGGCTGTATTAAGTAACTTCTTTTTATTAGAGTATCTTGTCTGAAGTTCCTTACCCAAAATATATTTAATTAACTTGTCACTTTATCTTAACATATTTGATCAAATTCTTACAATTATTACAGGCCACAATTCACTGACAATTTTGAGAATGTGCATTTCGAACAATAAGTACATTTTACAATTTAGTTACATGTCATTCAACATACACACTTCACTTTGTTGTATAAATTCCATTTGATGATAATGGCAATGAATTATTGTGCAGACTTAACGTTTCATTCATCCTGAGGCTGGATAGGTAGTCAGGGAAGTAACTATGTTCTCGGGACATGACAACCATGTTGACCACATCATCAACACAATAAACCTTAGCATTTGCACTATAGTTCAGCTCATTCAAGCAAAGCTATCTCCAGTAGGGAATTTCCCCTTTAGAGAGCATTTTCATTTTACCTGTCCTGAGACTGATGCTTTTATCATTATAATAGTATAAAACACACTCTTCAGTGAAGATTTAAGATTAAAATTTAAATCTGTCTCATTAGCCTCTGGGACCACCCAGAACATGCTTATTTATGGGCCACACCCCTTTCTGCCCTCATATAAGTAACCATGAAACTATCCCAATAAAGGGAGTCTCCTTAGTGCCAGCCGTTGCTGTCTCATCTTTAGTAGCAGACCATCGGGAATCCTCGCTCAGGGTGTACTGTCTGTTCTGTACCTAGTTTTCAGAATATTCTTTCTACTTTCCAATCAATTGCTCTATGCTGCATCTCCTTTGCTATGTGTCTCTTGTTTAAATTATTTTGAAATAGGAAGACAAGAACTGAGGTTTCAGAACAGCCATCAACAATCCCACAACAGCTGTATTGAAAATTAAACACAATTCATAATCCACATTTTATAAAATGTTCCTTTAACTCTGACTTCCAGGTGCGGTTTATTTAAATTTCCTCAAGTTACTTTTCTCAGTAACTTCACTTCTCCAGGGCAAGAACAATTGTCATTCATTTTCATGTTATTTAGTGTAAATGATATGCAATCTCCTAATTCACAGGTAATTCATGATACGTTTTTATTTCAACTAGAAAAAAAGCATAATAATATAAATTATGCTTTAAAGCATAATTTTTTAAATTCTAGTTTTTTAAATTTTTTTTAATTTTTATTTTTTGTGGGCACCTAGTAGGCATACATATTTATAAAGTCAGTTTGCTTTTTTATTTAATTTTATTTTTTCATAAATTACTGGGGTACAGGTGGTATTTGGTTACATGAGTAAGTTTTATAATGGTGATTTGTGGGATTTGTGGTGCA